GAACCACCAGCACACAGACGGGAATAATGGAAGGGAGAACGTATCTGACTTGACTTTGGGCCCAGGAAATTCCCCAGTTACTCGAATGAATCCCACTTCAGGAGCTTTGAGCCCACTGACTCGGCCCAATGGAACTGCCAACAGCACCAAGAACCTGGTGGTGACAGCGGAAATGTGCTGCTACTGCTTTGATGTACTCTACTGTCATCTCTACGGGTTCCCTCAGCCACGGCTTCCTCGATTTACCAATGACCCCTAGTGAGTACATCTGTGGGAGGAGAGCTGGGAAACGGCTGCCAGAGCTGCTGTGGCTTGGTTGGATAGAGGTGAAGGGTTTCCTCTGGGGAGTAGGAAAACCGGTGTGCCGGGGGAGGGGGGGCATTCTGCTGCTTGCTTTGTCTGCCAGAAACTAAAAATGATGCACTGTAAGTGCATGAAGGAGTGAAGTATTGTGGGGTTTGGTGGAAGCGAGCGAGCTCTGAAGAGTGGCCTTCAGGGGAGAACATGCTTAGCTCTACAGAAAGAGAGCTGGGCTAAGTATGAGGAGGTGTGCTGCTTCAGCTCACAGTCTCCTGTGTCCCACGAGACACTGTGTCCTTCACTGAGAAGTGCAAACCCTCTTCATGGTAACGTAAAAGTTTGCCCCCCTTCTTTCTGAATAGATTCCTTTGCAAAAACTTAACTGAGCGGTTCCTCCTGCAAAACTGTTCTAACAGAACAGTAAAATAACATCGTTAATTTGAAGAGGCTCCAGCTAATGTGAGACACTGACTTGGTGAAGAGACGAGGGAATAGACTTCCTTCTGCAAAGCAAATGGAAAGGGAATAAAGTAAGAAGCTGAAACAAGTTTCCAGCTCATCCTGAAACAAATGCTGAGCTGGTGAAAATTGGGCAAGGACACTCACAGGGCTGTTCAGCTGTCCTAGTTAATGGGTTTAGCAGGGAGGGGAATCGAAAAATTGCCAGTTATAGAAGAGACTTTGGGAAGATAGTGTTAGCTGGGCAATGTGAGGAGAAATCATAGAATCATTTAGAAAAACATTTGAGTCCAACCATGAACCCAGCACTGCCAAGAGAGTTAACTTTCAAGGACGATACCAAGGTTAGGGGGAAAGGAGATGTGTATGAGCAGAAGTGAGGAGAAGGATTTATGAAGCTGTTTGGCTTTGGTGAGATTTAGCTAATGTTTATCTGAAGGTTGAATGCGTAGGTGTGGAAATGTTAATGTTGTTAAAATGTTTGGTGAAAGAATTATATGGGAAAGATCAATGACAGATAGACTTTCCGACACTCCTCCAGGGGCCTCTTCCAGAACAATAGATAAATTAACGGTGTCAACAACTTTTTATTTTAAGTTAATGAATTTTAAATTGATGTAAAGGAACAGTGGCTTAAACAGGTCAAGGACTTTTTCTGTGTATTCAGTGTCTGCCCACCTTACTGCCTGTCAGGATGGATGTGGGTTGTGCTTTCCATGCAGTTATTATCCAAGTAGGATTATGGATACATGTTCTGAATGCTGCCACAGACTAAGCTGTTTAATACTGTAAATACAAATGAATGGAGAAATGCTCTGGACCAGGCTCTCAGATAGTTCCAGGGACTCCCCAGGCTGAAACATTTCTGCTGTTGTTGCTACGTACCCTGGGTAGGCTCCTTTTAGAACATTTTATGTTAGTCTGCTTATTATTGTGTCACCTGAAATGCAGAGGGGTTTTTTTTGCTGTTGTTCTGTTAAGTCAGTAAGAGAGATGGTTTTACACAGCTGCATTCTTTTGGTGTCAGAGGAGATTTCTGGCTGGATTTTGTTGCTTTTTCTGTTGACTAGTTTCAAAAAGGACATCCTTTGGGGAATAGCAGCTGGTTGAATTTTATGCCCAGATTTGAAAAGTTCAGAGTTGCTCATTGGGTATTTCTGTGTTCATAATTACGAGACTTTTAGATCAGCACACCAGCAAAGCATAACCAGCCCTTACCTCCTCTTCCCCTGCAGGCAAATGCTTACCTAAATTTTCTTGTGTTTCAGCATTTATGCTTTTGCTTCCAGCAAATAGTTGGATGTTCCCCAGGGAAAAGCATGGGGTTTGCTCTGTTGTAGAGCAGCACATAAGGATGAGCTGTCCCACTTGGGACAGTCATGGAATGAACTTCAAGGCAAATGTCATTAAATATAGGAGTAAGCAAAGTGAAAATACAGAAATAATTTGTATTTTGGCCCTTTGTGACATAATGAATGTCAGTGGAAGAGATCTTTGAATAAAACAAAGGTTTATCCAGGAAGTCTCCCTGGACAGACTGGTGATGGAATAGAAAGAGGCACAGCCTGTTCTGGATAGCAGATTTTTAAATTGGTGCTGAACCCCAAAGTAAAGACAAAAGTAGGTGTGAAGGGCAGGATTTGGCATAAATAGTGTAACAACATAAAAGTTACAGGGTTCTGACTTGAGAACCACCATGAATTTCAGTTACCATCTTGAGGGGATATGCTCATGGACAACAATCTGATGGGAATTATGGTAAGATACCTATAGAGTAAGGTTCCCTTATTCCAGTGTTAGCACTGATGTTCACAAATCAATGGAGAGACAGTGGAATTGCAAGACTTGCAGTTATGTCTGAATTAACTTGGTAAAGGAAGAAAATATCCACTTTAATATTCAGGTTACTGGAAGAAATTACAATTTGGAACCTGTGCAAATAGTTAATCGGTTGCTTCTTCTACTTTTGTACTTCAATCTGATTTGTTAATAGTAGGTATTACAAACTGGTGCTAAAACTACACCATGGAAGTTTCCAGTTGCCATGCAAGACAAATAATAAGGAACTTGCATCATAAAATCTGCTCTGTAACAGGTTTTTCCCGAGTACAAGCTAAACTCTGATTTGAACAAGCTGTATTTTTCCACTTTAAAATTCCCTTTGTAGTTGCAATTGGAGAAGCTAGCTTTTAGTTGCTGAAATTCCCCTCTCAGCCTAAAAACCCTCATCAAACACAGCTAAGTGGGATGTTGTGTCTGGGGAAGAAACAGTTGCCATAATCTGCTGAAGGTATGGCTGCAGAGTACATGTAAGTGCTCTTGGGTGAACGTGGACAAAAGGTTGTTGTGACTTTTCTTAGTACATCTAGGAAATAACACTTTTCAAGGAGGGGCTCTGGAACAATGGACTTACTGTCAGCTGCACCTGCAATTTGCTGAGTGCATTTATTCTTCGGAGACAGAAACATCTTTTCTGCTGTGAAAATAGTGAAATTTTATATACATTTACAAAATTGTGTATTTCTTCTTTTTATGCCTCAGTTGTTCTGACCACAGTGAAAAATTGTTTAAAATGTGCTTTAAAGTATTTTAAGATACGACAGCCTTCTGAATGCAATTATCCTGTCCCTTCTGATAATATCTCTTCTATTATAGACACAGAACGCTCAGTGGAAATATGGGTTGTGGTTTTGTTCCCTTTGGAAGGGGAAAGAGGCGAATTGAAAATGTGAACCTGCAATTTGAATTGAAGGGGAACTTGCTTAGATTTGTATTCTGAGAGTGATGGGGTTTATGTTCTCCTTTGCCTTTCCTGTTTGGGATGAGTGTCACATGGGCTGAGCGATGGTTTCAAAACTTTAATTAGATTAGGGAAATTTCCACTGAACTTGTGACAGTGGTGTTTCTCAGAGTTCTCCTGTGTAAGTTTAGTATCTTTTTTTGGTTTTTGTAAGCTTTCTAATGTATTTTCTTACACTCTGTTTCTGTTTGCTCTTTCAACATATGGTAGCCATATAAAATGTAGAGCAATGATCTCCTGCAAGTTGCTTTGAAGTGTTGTCAGAAAAGTAGAACAGCAAATCCCCTGTCTTGGTCAAGGAACAACAGGGTTGTTGTTGGGTGTGGAAGGATGTTTCTGCTTCCTCTGTGGGCAAAGTCCTTCACAATTATCACTTACAGGCTATTTGCTATTTTGGGTAGTACTTCTGCCACTGGTCACAGCTGGTAACTACATCCTGAATGATGGATTTATGCTGTGATAGTTTTTAATTCCATTGTTGCTCTGAGGAACATCACTCGACATTGATTTATCACTAGAGTTTAAATTATGTTCTGACAACTTAGAAGTTCTGTTGCTGTATTTGAGAAATCATCCACACTCTGTGCTGGTTTTGTTATCTGAACAGAACATCTTAGTATTTTTTGTAATGTTTGCTGCAAGGATACATTGCTTACGAGAGCTTCGAGTATGTGAGGAAAGTAAATGCCTGAGCAGTGTTGTTGAATCAGTCTTGATGGCTCAGAACTCCTGTCAGTGTTTAATCTCAGAAAATCACATTCTACCATACTACTTAAAGTTCTGTAGAAATCCACAGACTGATGTCTTGTATTCAGTACTCTGTAATCTGAACAACTTGGAGAATCGTTCATCCTGGTTTTATAATTAGAACAACATCATCAGTTGCCTTACAAAATTTTCCAGATGTTTGGTTATTCTTGTAAAGCTGCAGCCACCACTGTCCTTTCTTTAGTGTTTCTCTCTACAATTCTTTGCAATTTCACTCACTTCTGTAGAAGTTAGTTTTTTGCATTTAATGTTGACAGTCATCTTTACCTGTTTATCTCTTCACAGAGCTCTGTTGTTCTGAACTTGTTTTTCTTTGAGGCTAAATCATGGGTTCTAGTTTAACAGCTTGAAATGAGCCTGCTGAGTTTGAGAATCTACTGTTATGCCTGTAAATTCCTGATAGTAGACAGGAAAATGGAAATCCAGGTGATGTTTGAGTAGGAACAATAGTGATTTAGGTATGTGTCCAACAGTAGAGAATATGTGTAAATATAAATCAAATGGAAAGTAAGCAAGAGATTGGACATAAAGTGCTCATGCCTTTGGGATGGACCCAGAAGTCAGATCCTCATGGAAGTAACAGGGAAAAAAATAATTTGGCTTTCTCTTTATTCCTTTAGAAAAAACCACAAAAACAAAAAACCAAAACAAAAAAAAAAAAAAAAAAAAAAGAAAAAAAAAAGAAAAACTTTTATTGCAAATCTGATTTATAGATGAATTGCAGAATGCCTGGGGATCTTTCAGGTTCACTGGTGCTATAAGTAACTAATCTTATTTGCTTCACCTGTATTGATTTTTATATGGGCTGTCCTGTAAATTAGTGGGTGCTGTGAAGTGCAGCCAATACTGACAGGTACTCAGTGGGGTCAAACAACCATATCCCTCATTAGATTCAGTGCAGAATCTGTCCAAGAAGGTGTCCATGGATACTTGCAGAGCACTGCTGGAGAGGAGTGAGTACTGAAAAGGTGGAGGGAGATGGTGGAGTGTGGCAGGGGGTGGGCACGAGGTTTGGGTATTGCTGGGCAGCAGGTGAGCAAACCTGCCTTTTGGGGTTTACTGGAGAGAGAGAAAGCAAGGGCATGTGCATGTGCTCTTTTACACCTTGGTACTCTCCTCTTAGCAGCCAAATATCCCTAGGGGCTGGAAGGTTTCTTTTGTTTTCTTCCTTTTCAGTCCACTCTTTGTGACGTGGAAGACGGGGCGAGACAAGCGGCTTCGTGGCTGCATTGGGACCTTCTCAGCCATGAATCTTCACTCAGGACTCAGGGAATACACATTAACCAGGTAACTGCTGGGAATGAAATACATCTGAAATTAGTCTCGTTTGCTGAGAATCTGTAAGGATTCAAGGTTAGTATGTTGGATCAACATAGTTCAGTGTAATATGCTCCACAATAAAATACACCTGAGAAGTGTGTGATATCCAGGGTGAGGGGGATAGCAGGATTTAGTGGAACATCTTTGCAACAGGTGACATTTTAAGGCTAATTGCAAATCTGTCTTGCATACTAACAGTTTTAACATCCTCTGTGGCATATATTTTCTCTCTTACTGTGGTAGGTATTGGACAGCATCACTGGCATTACAGTTTACTGGATTAAGGAGAGCAGAGAAACGTGTTTCACGGAGGCATAACCAAAAGAGGAATCATTGAGTACCTGACACTTCAGTTTGGTGCTTGTATTAGGCAATATTTCTTCTCTTCCCTTTAGTGCACTTAAGGACAGCCGATTTCCCCCCCTGACCCGCGAGGAGCTGCCCAAACTCTTCTGCTCTGTCTCCCTCCTCACTAACTTTGAGGATGCCAGTGACTACCTGGACTGGGAGGTGAGAACAGGTGCATTTGGAACTCTGCATCCCTCTCTCATTCCGTTCGGGTTCGGGTTAGTACACGGTGATGTGTCTCCTTCGTTACAGGGGCGTGTGGGGATAGAAGAGACTGGAAGTAGAAGAAATGGGTCTGGAAAACTAGAAGGGAGGAAGAGAATGGGCTAACAGTATGCTTTTGGTTGGGAAGGGATCTGAATGGGAATAAAAGAAACATGAAAGTGGTTTATGGATTTGGCCCAATGGGAGATGGGTGTAAATACATGTGTAAAAGCCTGGGAAGTCTTTTGATGGTGTGAATAGAAACTGGAAATAAAAAGTAGTTAAGACTAAAGGTGTGAATGATTTTTAGGACCTTGTACATGGAAGTGTATTTAGTTCAAGAAGGAGATATATATATATGTGGACTTTGTAGTTGGGTTATTTTAGGCATGATTCTTGTGTACAGAGATTTTGTCTCTTGCCCAACACAAGAGATGGAAAACTGTCAGACTTCTGACAAGACTTGCCTTAGGGACACTGGTGAGGCTCAGTGGGGAAAGGTGGCAGAAGTCCTTTGTGCTGCTAAGAGAGCTGCTTGTGAGACCTGCCTGGTAAGAACAGAGAGTGGGGAAGAGAATGGCCTTGTGCAGGCAAAAGCCAAACTGTCCAGAGAGAGAGAGATACACAGTGTTGTGGGGATGACGACTCACTCGTGGACTCAGTGCTAGCAAACACCTCTTATTTGGCTGTTCATTTCCATCTATAGGTTGGTATCCATGGGATCAGAATAGAGTTCATCAATGAGAAAGGTGTCAAACGCACAGCCACGTATTTACCTGAGGTTGCTAAGGAACAAGGTGGGTTTGAGATGGCAGCCAAACATGTCAACATGTTGTGCCACAGAACTGGGTAACTGAAATCTATGGATTTGGGGCTTGGATTGCAATGCTGTCATGCTGTTCTCGTAGTAGTGCCGTGGAGCCACCAGGCTTACTCTGGATAACTGACACCTGATACAGTTGGTGCTGGGTTTTCACCTGGCCTTTCTCTCGTTGCACAGCTGTATCTTAGCATAAAAATATTTTAGGGCTTAAGAAATAGCGGATCTCAAAGTATGGATCTTCCAGCCTCATCCAGCATTGCATCTTTCCTCTTCTGTGTTTCTCCCACCAGCTAGGATAACTGCAGGCTGCACAGCACCAACAGAGGGGTCCCTTTCCTCCTCATTCTTGCTAAAGTAGCATCCTCCAGAGGAGGGCTGGAAAAGGGCCCCTCTGGAGCACACTTCCCACTCAAATAGAGTAGCAGTCACCATGGTAACTGCTCAAAATATTGCCTCCTTTCCTCCACTTAGCAGAGTGGAGTGGTTACACCCTCCTGGCTCCGGGGCAAAAGACTAAGGTAGTGATTTTAACTCTGATCTCTCACATAGCAGTGCACTGTGCTATCACTAGAGCATCAATCCCAGTCTGTCTATGTCAAGAGCTAAGTATTCTTTATTTTCAAGGCTTATGGAGCTAAACTGAAGTGGCACATGGTGAAACAGTTTGGGGTCCCCGCAACAGAAGCAAGGCACAGACCTTTATAAGAAGAGAGGTCATATGGAAAATGGGATTACTGTTTCATAGACCAGCTCCAGTAGGAATTAAAAGGGGTTGGCATGTGCAGATAGTGTACATGCATCAGGCCATGGATGTCCAGTTCAACACTGGGATTTTTAAAGCTCAGTTTCCTGTTTAGTTGTTTGCTTTTCTAGAGGCCTTTTAATGCATCTCTTATGTTTCTGAAACATCTTCTTTATATTGAAAAATTTCCCTTACTTCTATTTTTCAATAGACTGGGATCAGATCCAGACCATAGACTCCTTACTCAGGAAAGGTGGCTTTAAGGCTCCAATTACCAATGATTTTAGGAAAACAATTAAACTCACCAGGTAAGTTGATGTATTTGTCATCTTTTAATTTTGCTTTATAGCGTTTTGTGGATAATTTAAAGTATTTGTGCTTGATGTAAGTCTTCAGCCTCTTTCAGATGAGACATGTAATGTGAAAGACCAAACCAGAAATGCCACGTGTAATGGGATGAAGCGCAGTATGTTTGGTCCAGGCAGGATCAAAGTTGGCATTTTCTGAGAGAAGGGTTACTGGTTTTAATATTACCATCTATGTGAAAGATCAGAAGCAGAACCTTTGAAAGTTAAAAAGGTTGATTTTTCAGTATCTTTTCAAAGAACTTCCTTTTCTCAGTGTGGTCATCTGTGGATGCTGGAGCTATTTGTAGGCGACAGCTGTCTTCAAACCACACATGAATTTGGCTGGTTTTCAGAATTTGCTTGCTTTTCTATACCCCCAGCTGTCTTATTGGTTTCTGCTCCCTTTATGTTAGTAAAAATTGGGACATTCTGGTTTTGTATAGAAACATTAATTTATCAGGTCGTTTCTTACCTCTGGAGGAATGAGTTGGGTGTGCAGGGTTTTTTTTAACAGAAGAGGACAGGACGAAGGTTTTCGTTAAAATCTGGTCTTAGTACAACTCACAACCACTTTGTTTATCTGTTGTGTAGTGTGCTTTAGAAAAACCTGGAAAACTCTGATCGCTAAAGGAATTTCAAATTTTGTGAATTCTGATTTTACAACATAGACTGTCACTTATATGGTATAACTAACCTTTCTTTACACACTTCTCCATCATTTTTTTCACTAGCCTCTCAAATGTGAAGATAACCACAATAGTAAACAATAGTGAAATACTGATTATTTAGCCATTGTAACTGAGTCTTCTTCCAGCAAACTTTTCATGCCATTTTTGCCCCCTGCAAGTGGATAAAAAAGAACACAAATTGATAATTTGTTTCATGTGTGCTACTTCAGGCATCCCTTAGTTAGGATCACCTTGACTAGGGCTCAGCTTTTGGGACACCGAAGCTAATTCAAGCTCAGATGGGTTATTGAGACTGCTGCATGAGGCAGTACCAAAGGCAGTGCGCTCCTCTTGTCCGTCACTGGCTGTGAGCTGAAGGGTGAAGTGATGGATGGGTTTTGTTTAGTCCCCCCGTGTGTGCTGACGTTATTTTTCTGCCGCTGTTCCCGCAGGTACCGCAGCGAGAAGGTGACAATCAGTTATGCAGAGTACATGGCCTCCCGCCAGCATTGTTTCCAGAATGGCACTCTTCATGCCCCCCCCCTCTACAATCATTACTCCTGACACACGGCTGCATGACCAGTCCCACTCCCCAGTTGCTGCCAACGGCTACGATATCATTGGGGCAGACGCCTCCTCTTCCTGGTCCAGTTACTTCTATTACTGCACCATTTTATGATGCTAGCTTCCGTTGCCAAGTCTGCCTTCCTGCTGACCTGGGGGGAGAATGAGAGCGTGACAGGACTTCAGGGGCCCAAGCCTTATCTCAGCCTTCCCTCTGAGTGGGGGTTCAGTTGGATTGGGGCTCCATGCCTACGAACTGTCGTGAGGTGCAGAAGACCTCTCGGAGCGAAAGTGCTGCTTCAGACTGATCCATTCCTGGGTGTTACTGACACTGTGGAAACTTGAGTTGCTTGTTATGGAAGCCCCCCAGATCAAGTAGGAGCATTCCCCTGGCAGCCTGGGCAACGGAGTCCAACAAAACATTTTTTAGGTTCTTTTTAATTTTTTTTAACTCCGGTATCTGTTGTGTACTGAGAGCTGATTGCAGTCCCCACGCATCACAGGTGGACATCATGATACTGGGGAGGGTCGAACACCTGGATGGCACCCCATCCTCACCAACAGAAAACACTTAGAGATGTGAAAAATGAATCCATTATTTAAATAAACCCTAGAAGGCTTTAAGGCTCACATCCTTGGTAGGTCGAATTCTTTAGAAATTCTCTTGGTTTACAGTTTTCTGGGTTTTCAGACAGAGCTCGGTGATGAAGCCTGCTATGAAACAGTTGTGCCTGTCAGGGAGCAACATGGCACATGCTGGGTATGGAGAGGAAAAGGTACTTGTGTATCCCTGGACAGTCTGTTAAGACCATGTTTTGTTTCCAAATATTCGTAGCAGATTGGATTAGGGCTGGGGAGGGGTTTGCATGGCACTGACTGTAGTCATACAATGAGACCAGTGACTGAAATTTGTTTAATTTAAGCTAACTGTCTTGGGGACCTTCCTATTGCTAGGACAGCCACTTTCTCCAGTGTGACTACTGATCTTCAGGGCAGGAACTGTTCCCGTTCGTAGCAGGCTATGGAATAGAGGTGTGGAGTTCCACTGCTAAGATCTATCAGCTTAGTTGTACCACAGCAAGGCAGTGAGTGGGGAACCTCTACTACCCAAACTGGGTGAAACTCGTGTGCATTCTGTATTTCTTCTCCCATGGTTGATGATCACAGGAAATACTCTCTTCTAAGAGGGAGTTAAGTTACTCATTGTTATTCTGCAGCATCATTGAGGATGTCATGAACTCTAAATTATGACACTCTCTCAATAAGGTAACTGGACTTCAGAATATAGTTTGGGGTGGTGTTGGTTGGTTTGTTTTCCAAGTTTCTGGAGGGTCTGTAATGACTGGGAAAGCAGATACAAGTGCACAGGAGAGTCATGGCTATTTGGTTGCACGTATCTTTAGAGCCTGCTTGCGTGGGGTAATTGGCTGGTGTTTGAAGCCTGAAATTCTGCCCTGGCACGGCAGGGAATAGGGCTGGTGGGAAGCTAAGAACTGCAGGCTGCTGCTCCTGGTCCTAAGGAAGCAACGCACAACTGTGCAGTTTTGCTCTGTGTTGGTGTAACATTCTGCTGGAGAAGGGAGTTGTGAGGGAGGTTACTCTGGCTAACGGTGCAGTATCGACCCAGCTCTCACCCTGTGCTGGGTCATTCTTACAAATTGCCACTTTTCCCTTGTGGTGTTGTTGGAAAGCAATTGAAGATGAAGGGATTGTTCATAACTTCCTGCTGCTGAGAATAAATTGGTCTTGTTACAAACCACTCCAGTTTGTAATTACTCTCCCAGGTGCCATGTAGTGATGGGGGAGGGTGGGGTCAGCTCTGGACATACCACTTACCTTTCAGCTGTCAAACAGTATGATACATAGGGCTACACTCATTACTGTTCAAGTGTTCTATGTTAGAATTTAATTTCTAAAAGGTTTAAAAAAAGCAAAAAAATGGTGCTAAAACTTCACCCCTGAGCACGCTCGGTGAGACTGGTCATGCAGGCGTACAGTGCCAGGCTTTTCAACTATACTGTTTCTTTTTCAGATGTTTGCCCTGTTCTGTGTCTTCAACAGTGTATAGTGTTTTCCTGATTTCAGTTTCTTTGACTAGGGATGACTAAGGGGTGGGGTGGGGAGGGTTAGCTGTAATTTTTTTAAAGAACGGAATTTTAGGATTGAGTGACTCGGTTGGTTTAAGCCTAAAGTGGGACAGATGGTTTGGGACTGGGGAAGTCTTATCCTCTCCCACTTCTATTTCCCCACTCAGTCTGTTTAAAAAAACAAAAACAGAAATGCCTCTGAATATGTACTGTGTTCTTGTCTTGTTGCAGTGAGAAGAGAAGCTGGCAGGTCAGAAAACACTGGTCTGCTGCCTAAGGAACAGGCCCTCCCAGCTTTTGTCCCATAAGGGTCCAGCTATAAAATCAGTTGAAAACTGTGTCAGTAGCTAAGTTAGCTCAGAGAAATGTATGACAAGGACAGGTGGTCTCAGGAAATAATCCCATTTCTAGATCATTACACGGCAGCTATGCATAAGGATGAAAGAGGTGAACTAGAAACAAAATGTACTTTGAGTTGTCTCAAGATGAAGGCAACCAAAATCAGTGACCAACTGCTACGAGTGGTTGCTTGGCTGGGGACAGCAGGTTAGAACTGCTCCTCAAAGCAGCTGTTACCTGGTTAGATCTGGATTAACTCATCCTTAGAAGCAAGTGCCTTTTGGTCTAGAAGGGCTTATTCTCATGACAACCACAACTGAGAAATAATCTCACTGCAATGATGAAATGTCTTTGTTTTACAGTAACTACAGGAGAATGTCTTTGATCACTGGAGTCTGTCAGTGTTGGAATGTTTCCACTGTGAGGTTCTTAATTTTTTTTTTTTGTATTGTTCAACAGTCAATCTCAACTGAGGCCATTTCAGTTTGGGAACGTTTTGTAGTCAAAATATCACATATCTACAATTTATCAGAACAAAAAAAATCTATAAGGAAATCTAAGAGTTCATTTTAACCTTTGCACAGAATAATTTGTTTTCATAGTACATTAACAAACCTCTGCAATCTTCACTGACCATTAGTGCTGTTTTTCTGTTTGTATTCTGGAAACGACATGTTGTTTTGTTGGGGTTTTTTTGGTTAATTTATTTCCTTAAAGCAGAAGACCTCTTTTGACCTTCAGTGCAGAGATGTCAGACCAACTCTTTGTATTACACTTGGTTGCCTCCTACCTATATAATAACTTCTGAGTGTAAATAATTGAACTCTATCCTCTAATGAAGTATTGTAGAGAATAAATCATAATAGATAAAGATTATTTGTACTGTCCTCTTTATGTGGGTTCTCACAGCCTTTGTGGGGGATAAGATGAAATCATTCTCATCTAGAAAGACAAACAATATATTACAGGTCTGAATAGCAAACCTGTAAATTATACTGAATGCTCAAAACCAGGGAGGTTGCCAGAGTGGGATGGCAGCTGTCTGGAGGCACACAAACAGTCAGACAGGCTCTCTAGAAGGAAGCAAGCTAAAATAGAAGGAAAATTAAAACCAACTACTAAATATGTGTCTTTGTATCCTGAAATAATGTTTGCTTGACAATAACTTTCTCTCATGATGGTTTGCCATGACATATATAAAGCACATACGTACAGAGTACTCTAAATATGTCTGAAACCATAAAAATTGGGGTTTGGGGGTTTGTCTTCTAAAAGGAGCTAATGAGAACAGATTGCCTATACTCTGAGGCTGTAGTCTCAAAATCTACTCTTAATCTAAAAAAATGAGTCTAAAAAAATGTAAAAATTAGTCTTAATCTAAAAATATTATTTCAGAAGAAACACCTACATCTTTCTGGATTCTTAAAATTTGAATGTTTGTTTTGGGACAGGATTAACTGATTTGTGGAATAGTTTTGAATTATGCCTCTGGTTTACCTGATTTTTTCCATACCCTGTCAGGTTATTGTTAACTTTTTATCTGTGGCAGATGTATAGTTGGGAGATCCTACATTTTCTGCTTGTGGTTCTCGGGAAGGGCAGCCCTGGATGTCAATGAACAGTCATAAACCCCCAAAGTAAACACCAACCAAACCAAGGGGTTTGGTTTTGACCAAGTTTTGACTTAAATATGCCTGAGAAGCTCATTGACCTCAGCACAACTACAAAGCAAAACTCTATTTTCAGAAAATATGCTGCTGGTACTAGTCAGGCTAGAAAGTAAATCCCCCAGGCAATGTGAGGAGGGGGTGAGGAGGACTCTGGGGCTAATGTGATTTCCAGGTGATTTCCTTTTTATTTCTGAAGTTACCCATATCACTGCCATCATGTATCCAGGGAAGTTATCAGGTATATTCCTGACAGCTCTGTTGTCAGGAATACATTGACTTTTTGTACATTTTTGTGTCATATGCTTTTCCTTACTTGATTTTTTTGGTTTCCTATTGAATCAGTCAGACATAAAATCTTTGTCTGGTGTCTTTCATTAGAGGTTCTTCCGCGCATGTTGCATTCTGTGACCACAGGAACACTCACCCAGCAGCTCCCAGGGAGGATGAGGCCAGGTAGAAGGGTGTACATATGACTGCACGCTGAAATAGGTCAATCCAGGCTAAATATAAACCAGGATAATTCTCCCGGAAACACTTTCTTCTGTTGCTACTCCTGTTTGAAATAAGAAACAAAATTAATTACTCATTTGGCACTCACTTCTTTCTAGAACAAAATTAAAGACAGCTTAGGAGGAATATCTACAAGACACTTCAAATGAAGAATACTTGAGCATTTTTATTCTAAACACAAAAAAAAAAAAAAAAAGAATTTTATTTTACCTGTGATTGAGAAATGCCACTTCTTAAAGACAAAAATGAAAACCAGAAAAAAAATGAAAACTTTCCCATGAGACCAAATAAGTCACTATTTATACTGACAGTACATAGAGCAGTACCATAGGAAAGTTCCTAAGCTGGTTTTCCCATGGTCTGGGAAAAGATGACCTGTGTGTCTGTTTGATATCACTCAGAAAACACAGAAAGCACAGAAGAGTGTTGTTACCATGTTCCTTAAACCAAGTACATACTTCCGCAAAATGAACAATATCCAGATTATTGAACCATATTTTTTTTTCTTTTCTGTAGTCAGCTAGACTGCTCTTATAATCAGATTAATTCTGGCAGAAATCATGCATGATACAACCAGCTGATAGTATGTCTAGATGTCACACGTATTTAAAAACTGAACAGATCATGCAGTTTTGCATTCAGAGGCTTACTGTGACTTCATTACTGGATATTAATATAATTTTACTTTGCTCATACATGTTCATTCCTTATGGTTTTGGAGATATACTTTTAAATGGAGTAAAAATAAAGGCAAAATGGTGTGAAAACCTAAACCTGAAGAGTTATACTTTAAGAACACAGATGAAAATCACACATGTCTTGTGCAATACTGGCTATTGTGGCACACCAGTGGGTGGTTATCTCCACAAGGATCACACTGGCATTCCACAGAAAATGTGGAATTACTGTTTGAAAACTTAAAAAAACTGCTAGGAAAATCACATTTCTTCTGCTGCTGGATTAAAAGGAAAGCATATTACAAAGTAGGTTTATGCTAATAATAGAATATCCTTGTTATTAGCTCTTCCTACATTTGATTACATGGAGGTATTTAGCTGAGTATTTTGTTAGATCTGTGGAGCTGCAATTAGTGTTTACAGGCTCTGTGTTTAAACTATAGCAATGTAGAAATTACCATAATAGGTCTGTCTAACAATCTGCTACCTAATAACATGTCTCCAGCAAGGATCAATGCTTTTGGCCCTGGAATATGGAATATTAGAGGCTCTATTCATGATAAATTACATTTGGCCAAGTAGTCTTTTTTTTTTTTAAATCAGCTTAATTTAGGATGTGACCACTAAAGCTGCTCAAAAGTTCCTATAGTCTTTATTTTAATCAAGCTCATCTTCCTTTTCTATGTGTATTTTGTTGACAAATGCTGAAACAGTCATTATTAGTGAGGAAAAAGCCAGAGCATTTTAAAAATAACAAGTCAGGTACTCTGCTATGTTTGCTTTGTTGCAGCAGCTGAACAATACTTCCTGTGGAGTTTATAAGTTCATTCTTTTAAATTCTTAAAAACCAAAACACATCAGTGATAATGGACTTAATCTTTTATGATAGCCTCTTAAACTGTGTCTATAAACTCTTGCAAGAATCTGGCTCTCTTGATTTAGTTTTTGTATACTTGAGTAGAATGGATCCCTGGGGGAAAACCCAACAGGGAAATTAGTAACTTAAACCTCAGTGAGCTACCTACTGCTCTGAGAATCATGATGTTCTGAGTTGATGGGTTATTTGAGTCAGGATTCCAAATGATGTTAAATGCTTCTCTGGTCAATCTGGCATGGATTTCCTTGCTTTCTTGTAAACCTAATTGAGATTGTTTAATTTGCCAGATGTTCCCCGAGATATTTCCATTCCCTTTCTTACTGGATGTCCTTCTGCTTGTACCACTTAGCAAATTACTCTCCATTCAGTTTCTCTGCTACGCTCATTATCCAGATAACAAATATTAGAAATCTATTATTTGACCTCTTCATATTCCTATAGTTTATTTTTAATGCATTCCTTTTCCCAGCGGTTCACCTAGGCACAGATGCAGTTCAGAACAGGAGTGGTTTCATCATAAATCCTCCAACAGTCTATTTTTGCCTTTCTTTAGGGGCGCAGCATGACATAGTAAGGGCTGATAAGATGATTACTTTAAGAGTCTTAGACTGGTTAGGCACTTACATGTGAGCTCTCCAGGGAAAACACTACTCCATAAGTTATTTTGTTGGCAGTGTTGGGAGAACTATCTCCATTTTCAGCCTGCCTATAACTTTTAGGGGTCTGTAGATTGCTTCTGGATAGTCTGAAAAAGCACCTTCCTTGGGAAGTGTGTTATGATATCAATACTCGTTCATTATAGACCGAGGTCTATTAATCACAGTGAGCTAGACAGAAATTCTGGCACAGACAGTCACAGTTTTCCTAAGGCTGGGCTTTGCTGTCTAGCTGGAGGATGTTCAGGTGGCAAAACAGAGCAAGCTGTAGCTCACTGATCCACTGATGTGAAGATGCATCTGCTGCCTTGGTGCCCTCGGGTGCTCCTGGGCAAATGGGTGCTGCTGTGCAGTCTGGGCAGGGGGACCAGAGCAGTTTTGAGCTCTTTGGTTATTTCCTAAAGGACAGAGCAGAAGGAGAAGGGTTTGCTCATGCGAAGGACAAGCACTGTTTCCCTCAGTGTTCCTCCACATCCCTCGGGCCCTGGTATGTGCCTTGAAGATTCTGGGCTCATGATCACAGAATCAGTTGGGTTGGAAAAGACCTCTGTGATCATCGAGTCCGACCTGTAACCAAACACCATGTCAACTAGACCATGGCACTGGGGCCCGTGTCCAGGCTGTCCTTAAACACCTCCAGGGACAGTGTCTCCACCACCTCCCTGGGCAGCCCATTCCAATGCCTAATCATCCCTTCTGTGAGGAATTTCTTCCCAATGTCCAACCTAAATCTCCTCTCCTGGTGCAGCTTAAGACCATGTCCCCTCATCCTGTCCGTGGCGGCCTGGGAGAAGCAGCCGATCCCCACCCGGCTACAACCTCCTGTCAGGGAGCTGCAGGGTCTTGGTCCGATGATGTCTTCGTCTGCCACAGCTATTTGCCCCGTGTTCACATAAACAACGCTCAGCACCCCAGCTCTTTCCCTCTCTGAAAGGAGCTCACTGCTAAGCGAGCTTAAACACACCTCTGAGGGCTGCTTCCTGGGGGAAGGGGGGCGCTGCTTAGGCGCCCTGTCCCCGCTGCTTCCCCTCGGTTCTCCACAGCGGCAACTCCGCTTTTTTCTATTCGGCAGTGCCCGGGGCAGAACGGACCCTCGGCCCCTCACAGCGGGGAGAACCAGCCTCCGCCCGCCCCTCACACGGGGCAAAGCCACACGCTGCCGCTCAGACGGACGGAGCCGCCCCTCACACCGTAGAGAACCGGCCTCCGCCCGCCCCTCACACCCTGGAGAACCGGCCTCCGCCCGCCCCTCACACGGGGCAAAGCCACACGCTGCCGCTCAGACGGGCGGAGCCGCCCCTCACCCCGTAGAGAACCGGCCTCCGCCCGCCCCTCACGCCGCGGAGAACCGGCCTCCGCCCGCCCCTCACGCCGCGGAGAACCGGCCTCCGCCCGCCCCTCACGCCGCGGAGAACCGGCCTCCGCCCGCCCCTCACACCCTGGAGAACCGGCCTCCGGAGAACCGGCCTCCGCCCGCCCCTCACCCCGTAGAGAACCGGCCTCCGCCCGCCCCTCACACGCCGGAGCCGCCCTTTCCCGGCGGAGCGGCCCTTCCGCTGCGGGTTTCCGGCGATGGCGGCGGGCGGCAGCGACCCGCGGGCGGCGGACGTGGAGGAGGACGCCTCGCAGCTCGTCTTCCCCAAAGGTGCGGGCGGGGGTCGGGGCGCCGGGCCGGGCGGGGGCCGGAGCTGGCGGCGGCCTCCTGTGAGGGAACGAGCCTGGCCGGGCAGCTCGGCGGGATGGGAGCGCTGCTCAACGCCCCTGACCCTCCTCCGCCGGGTACAGAGCCCCGAGTCTTAAAAATCTTGATAATAAATCATTTATATACGTCTAAGGACCTCGTGGTTGCTAGGATGTGGCAGTTCTTATGTGGGCCACTGTGGGTATGTACAGGACTAAAAAAAAAAAAAAAATTCCTATCAGGCTACAGTGAAAAGCTCCTTGCATTTTGGTATAACCCTTGCTTTTTCACTGATGCTCCTCATCATACGAATTCTTCCTGTGACGGTGACGAGGCCCTGGCACAGGCTGCCCAGAGAAGCTGTGGCTGCTCCATCCCTGGAAGTGTCCAAGCCTTGGAGCAACCTGGGACAAAGGAAGGTGTCCCTGCCCATGGCAGGGGGTGGAATGAGATGAGCTTTAAGGTCCCTTCCAACCCAAACCAGTCTGGGATTCTATGAATACTACTGCATTTAGGAAACAAGCTTTCTGGAGACAGAGTTGGTAACCACAGACTCTCACGGTCTGTGTACTTTTTTCAGAAAACTGTTCATTTTAAATTCCAGAGGTGTATTTACACCTCCAAGCCACCCTGGAAAAGAAAAAGAAAAAAACAAACAAACAAGAAAAATGGGCACTGTGCTGCATTTTGAGTTATGAACAAAAGTGTAGCCCTGAAAGACTGGGGTTTTTTTGTATTCTTGAATACTAAAATCTATAGCCTACTCATGTTCAGCCTAAGCTAACTTACTGCTCAATGCAAAATATGGTTTGCCAGTCCTTTTCTAGCACTGCCCTGTATCTGCCCCCTGGGATGCAGCCTTTGACACTGCTGCTTTTGAACTGCAGCTCATACTGCTGATATTGAAAGACCTTGTTATTATTGGAATGCATATAGTGGTTATGGTGATGATGAATGAAAACAAAGCTGGTTAAAAAGGGGGGGAATCTGTAAAGGTTGGTTAAAAGTTTTTTTCCGATAATAAAATTGGAGTAGGTCAATTAACATTATAAGTAAACGAAACCTTTTTTAAAATACTCAAAACATCTGTATTTATTTCAATAAATCAGAGGTTTCTGAAGGCCACAGGCATCGCTTCTAAATTTTTTTGAGTATTACAGTTTTAAATTTTTTTTTCTGAAGCATTTCATGCATTCCTTAAGTTCTGCCAAAAAAAGGGTGAGGAAAACATACTGCAAAACTGTGAAAAATCATAATGTTAGGGCCATAAGTGTAAAATATGAGATCAAAAGACGAACACCTCAGATTGTCACTCGAAGTGGCGTAATTTTTATCAGCATTTTCGGTATGAAATGCTGCCCAGTCATTGGTGAAAGGGCTCGCACAACTGCCATAAAAGTTGTTCACTTCTTTATTGCCCAGAGCTAGATTTTTGTGCAAAATTTCCGTAATTCTCCTTTTCATCTGTGCTGCCCCTTTGGTGCTGGCGTTCTCTCATCCGGCTGCAGAGTTTGAAACTGCGGAAACTCTTCTGAACTCCGAGGTGCACATGCTGCTCGAGCACCGTAAGCAGCAGAACGAGAGTGCAGAGGATGAGCAGGAGCTGTCAGAAGTCTTCATGAAAACCTTGAATTACACAGCGCGCTTCAGCCGCTTTAAAAACCGGGAAACCATCGCCAGTGTGCGCAGGTGAGCGGGAAGGACAGGGAGTAACACTTACTGGAGAATTTGATCTATGAATAATGTTGATGCTGCTTTATGAAAGTACAGTTTAGTGGTGTTTCCTGCTTTGTTCCTTAATTCTTTCTGAAGAGGCAGGAAATCTGACCATAATTCTTGACGGTAGGTTGTATTTTGTCCAGGTTAAGCCTTGTGAACTGCTTTGTTTTCAGTGTTTCAGTGATAGCTGACTGCATTAAATGGGAGGGTTTTCTAGACTTTGCAGCGTAATTCAGGGTAAGTGGATTTAGCAGATGGGACTTTTTTTATTCCTCTATGCAATTATATAATGAGTATTTCCTCCTAACTTCAGTGCCAAAAGCAGTGTGAAAAAAGATATCCATTTGGTTTAGTTTATGCCCTTTTATATTTCTGTTTTGTAATTTCACGAAGTTGTTGTCTTTCTTACAGTTTGCTACTCCAGAAAAAGCTCCATAAGTTTGAATTGGCATGTTTGGCTAACTTGTGCCCTGAGACAGCTGAGGAAGCCAAAGCTCTGATTCCAAGGTGAGCACTTAAACATATTGTACAGAGACTGCTTTGTGCTTCCCTGTGATCTAAAGCCAGCTGTGGGCAGGTGCTGTTGCTTCAATCCAGCTCTGTTGATGTAAGAACATTTGATCTTGCTCTTCCCTACCCCTTGATCTGACAGTGAGGCACCATTTGTGCATGTCCCTGATGCGTTCCTGACAACTTTTACTGGATTAAGTGTAAACAGCTTAAACTGGGGTTCTTAGCTGGCTGTGTTTGTGTTTGTTGGAGATTTTTGCTGTTGGAGCAAATGAACTGTTTTGTGGATAAGGTATGTGGAAGCAGTAACTTCTTCATGTCTTGATTTGTTACCTCATGGCCTGAGATAGAGGAGGGAACTAAACATTCATCTAAATCACAGTTTCTTCCTTATATGCCATTATATAAAAGAGAAGGCTTTGGGATGACCTAATTTTGGTCTCCCAGTACCTAAAGGGAGCCTACAAGAAAGATGAAGAGAGGCTTTTTACAAGAGCAGGTAGTGACAGGACGAGGGGGAACAGCTTCAAACTGAAAAAGATTAGGTTCAGATTAGAGATTAGGAAAAAATTCTTCCCTGTGAGGGTGGTGAGGCCCTGGCACAGGTTGCCCAGAGAAGCTGTGGCTGCCCCATCCCTGGAAGTGTTCAAGGCCAGGTTGGACAGGGCTTGGAGCAACCTGGGCTAGTGGGTGTCCCTGCCTGTGACAGGGAGGTGGAATGAGGTGAACTTTAAGGTCCCTTCCATCCCAAATCATTCTCTGATTGTATGTTAAGATTTCATAGCAAGAACAGACTGGCTTACGGGCAGGCAGCTGCATGGTCTTAGTTTAGAGGTCTGCATAAACCTGCACCTACCTTGCCTTTTTGATAACACATTTAGAAATTATTGAGCAGAAAATTCTGGGAAGGATAGAGTTTTGTCATGAAAAGAGGAGACGCTGCATAGGGATTAGATTGTTCTTTGTGCAGTAACCTTGCAGATGGCTCCTGGTGGTTACATACAGGTGAGACTGATGGGAGGGAACTACGACTGAAATGAATCCGGGGGGGAGGTTATTTCTGAAAGCTTTGATGTCTCCTCGTTGTTCTTATCTTGCAGCCTGGAGGGCCGGTTTGAAGATGAAGAATTGCAGCAGATTCTCGATGACATTCAGACTAAACGCAGCTTCCAATATTAAGCTTAACCCTCAACCCCTTTATCTGAACGCAAAAACCTGGGGAATTTGACTGTTTCTCAGCCCTCTGGACCAGCTGAGCTCCTGGCTGAGTGAGGGAAGTTGTGGACATAGGGTGCTTCAGTGCTGTGACATCACAGGTGCATTCAGACTGGAGATCAGCATCGTCCTTTTGGTTTGTTCCAGGTGTATATTGGCAAGGGCTCCTGTATTGTGAGAGCCAAAGAACCCGAAAAGCCTTTTCCCAGTGGCTCAAATATTTGTTTCTTCCCCAAACCATCTCCTCAGTTTGAAAATTTTCACCATGTTTCTGGTTTTTAGCAGAAATATAGATGTAATTTCTGATTTTTTTTGAATTTCTAAAAGAGACAGAGAAACTTATTCTTGGAGCTCAGAAGATTCAATCATGGGCAGCATCAATTTCTGTGGTGGCTTTTTTGTTTGTTTGGCATCATTTTATTGTTTGATTAGGACAGTGAATTTTTACAGCTTCAATAATTTTCTATTGTTCGGTGTAAATTAAAATATATTTTTCATTAAAGTTGTATGGTTTATAAACATTAGGTACATATTATGATTTTGTTAATGAGGATCTTTTCGACAAATAGATCCTGGAGGTCTGGGGTCTCCAAGCATTTTATAACACAATTACAATTTAGGGCAGATCAGACAGAGGTGATATTAACTATGATCACAGCGAGAGAACATTTGGGCAGCATGTCCCTGTCTGCCAGGTGATTGCAGACACCCACTTGTTACAGAAAATAAAGAGTTAACCCATAATTCTGATGTTAACAAAGCCAAGTATCCACCCCTGGAGGGATGGACTCCTGAAGTAGTTTGCCAACTGCCTTAATTCTGAGAAGGAACCAAACCATGGAGGGATGGCTTGTGGTGCAGCCTGTGGGAGCAGCACACCCCCTGTTGTCACAGCTCAGCAGCTGGTAGATTCACAGATTGTTAGCTTTTCGTTGAAATGAATGTTCTTTTAGTTAGGGTAAGCTTCTTAGCCAGCCCTCTCAAATCTTACAATTTTACCACCATACCTGGAAGAAGGAAAATTTCGCAGGAAAGAATATCTGGGACAGAGAGGAATACAGGTGTGTTAAGACACTATTTGTGATGATGTTGTGGTTTGAAACCCAATAATGGGGACAGAGGAGAAGGGAATGACTGAATAAGTTAGGTTGGGAAAGACCCCTGAGACCATGGAGTCCAACCCATGACTGAACACCACCACAACTAGACCGAGGCACTGAGTGCCACATCCAGTCTTTCCTTAAGCACCTCCAGAGGTGGCGACTCGGCCACCTCCCTGGGCAGCGCGTTCCAAAGGTGTCTGTGCTGTGTCCGGCTGTTTGGCGAGCAGGGGCAGGGCGGAGCTGGGAGCCGGAGGGAGAACTGACAGCACCGACCGACCTCCGCCCCCGCGGCCCCTCTGCGCATGCGCGCGGCCCCGCCCCGTAGTTGAGGCGCCCGCGGGGGCTCTCACGACCGCGCCCCGCCTCTCTGCGCATGCGCGGGGCCGCCGCGCCTCTCGTGGCCCCGCCGGGGGGCGCTGCCACCGCCCCGCCCCTGCCCCGCGCGCCCTGACATAACGCGCGTGCGCACCGACGCGGGGCGCGTGCGCCGCGCGGGCGCTGGCGGCGGGGGAGGCGGAGGGAAGATGGCGGGCGGCTGCGGCCGCGGCTCGTGAGGCGGCGGCGCTGCCGGGGCCGGGAGGACGAGGCGGGCGGCGAGGCGGCGGCGGGGCGCGGAGTCCCGGTACGAGAGGCCGGCTGGGCGTGAGTGCGGCTCGGTTCTGGGCGGGGCGGGTGAGCAGCCCCGGGAAACGCGGCCGCCTCCGCCATCTTTAGGCCGCGGCCCAGGACCGGCGCGGCCGGGGCAGGGCGGGGGCCGCCGGCCGGAACAGCGGATGCCCGGGCTGGGACACCCCGGGGAGCGGCGTGAGCCGAGCGCAGGCCCAGCACCGCAGCCGGGCCCCGGGGTGCGGTTGCTCGAGGGCCGGGGCAGGGAGCGGACGGTAGGGCCCCCGTCCCGCCTGCCGCACAGGTGTGTGGTGGCGGCCTCGCCCGACTATCAGTCCTGCCCTTTTCTGCTTTTTAATTTTTTTTTTAAATGTTACTCTTTCCTCTGCTTTGGGTCTGAGTGGAGACCGAGTTGTGGCTGCTTGACGATAGGGCTGGGGAAGCCCTGGCCATTACGGGCCCTGTTAGATACATCACATCACATTTTCTGTTTATGCAGTCCTTCACAAGAGGGATTCTCTCTGTATTAAGGAGAGAAAAGAAACAGCTACAGACTAGCTAGTATTTGAGCTTCTCAGATGCCAGGTGAGATAACTGCATTTCCCAATAAAGGGCGGTCTTAGTGCTGGGGGCCGATAAACATTGGTAGAAGGATGGGAAGGCAATACGTTCATATTATATCTTGGCTTTTCTTACGGGTTCTGAAAGTGCTGTTGCTCACATTTTCCACTGTATAATGCTGTACAATAATGCTACTGTTAAAATATGTTCCTTGCAATATAATAAGACAGCCGTGTGCAGCAGGCACTTGCTCTTGCAGGCAGGGTGGGAGGGTTTAATGACCATGTGGTATCACATTCCACTGATTGAGACTCACCAGCCTGTGGTCACGGCATGGGTAGCAAACCTAGGGGACCTGTTAAACTTGAAAAAATACTTCAGTGTTTTTCCCTTGGAGAGAACTCATTAAACTTCGTGCCTTCTTACAGATGGGTGTTATTTCTCTCTTGCTAACTGTTAGCTTCTTTGTTATGAGCCGTGTGGTCTCAAATGCAGTATTTTGAGATATTGGCATTTGCTCAGGCACATCTGCTTGTCTGATAGAATAGGTAAGTAATCTTGTGCTCTACAAGTCTTGTATCTCATCACATCTTTACTTGCAATTTCTGTGTACTATTTGAGAATCTGATTTTCTTTGTGGACAACAGTCCCTTATCCTTCTCCTTGCAGCAGATGTTTATTCTTCTATGCTTTTCTTAACTCAAACTGTTTTATTCTTCCTTTAAGAGAGGTGACACTACACATCAGAGAGTTTATTGTATGCAAAGTGTTGTGCCAAAATACTTTGGGGTTCCCTCCTCCTGAATTCTTTATCAAGTAAACTGACTCAATAACTCAGCAGTTTGCTGCAATATTCTGCCATCATCTTACAATAAGAATATATAATCATCACACATTTCAGAAAATTCTGGTTCTTAACAACTTGTTCAGTTGTGCTGTAGTAGTTCAGATGGGAAGATCTGAAAATGTAGATACTGAAAAATGAAAATATTGAGAGATGGGGGAAAAAACCCCTTTGAGCTGTAGAGAATGTTAGATGTGAGTAGCTGGTGAATGTTTAATACTCCTAGACTTGCTAAAACCTTTTAATTTAAAAGTCAGTCGCTACAGTTACAGTCTTTCCCTGTTGCCTGAAGTGTTCATCCTCCATTGAATCCTTGCAGCTATAAACATTAGACTGTTTGGACTGTTGGAATTGAAAATTTCTCATCAGCTTTGTATTTCCTGTTATCAGCACAAGAAGTAAAAGCTCAGTAATCCTAAATTGTGCTTGAGATAGAGGTACGAGGAATGCATTCATTTGCTGCAGCAGAGAGGCCCTGATCTGAGGAGGAAATGAGAAATCTCCTGTTTTGTTCCCATCTCTAACAAATTTCAAGTCTTCTGAGTCACCTGAAAAAAAATCGTGGAGAAAACATTGGATTGAGTTGCAGTATGGAAGAAACAGAGTTTAACTTTGTATTGAGATGATTCCATGCAAAATATTTCACTTTGTCCATCTGCTAAGGCTTGAGGTTGATGATATATAGGGAATTTCAGTAGTTGGTTCACTAATGCTGGAAATGAAAATCATTTTAGACTTGCTCAGGTATAGGTTGTAGTTTAGAAAACGACCCCTATCTCTGTGCAGGAAATTGTAAAAACAAACTAAAAGCTGTCTGCAGTGTGTTTGTGATTTTTACAGAATTTGTTCTTTATTTGCTGTATTTTCATTCCTGGTATTGTATCATTTTGTTATTGGAAGCTTTATACGTAGCAAAAATACAGAGATGCTGGTTTGGTTGGTGTAGTTAATGAGGAGGCCTCAGTGGAACTGAACATTGTTAGAGCTTGGTGGTGTGGAGGGGATACAGGAAAGGTCTTTCAGAAGATTGAAACCTTAAGATAACCTTGGTTTTGCTTCTTATAGAGAATCTCTGGAAGTAAGAGCAGAGAAGTAGAGTTTTTGATGGCTAACAGGTGTTCATTTGTATTTTGTCATTAATTTTACTTCAGTTTGGAGCATCCCTGTTTTCCAAATGGTGCTAAACTTCCCAACAATTTGTTCTTGCTCACTAGTATTTAAAAAAGCTACTCAGCATTTCATAGGACGTCAGTTCTGGTTTAACCAGCTCTCCACATTCAGGCTGGCTGTACCAGTCATTCTGTTGTACAGCTTGAAATAGGATGTGAAGTGTATATGTACCAGGAAAGCAGGTGAGCTCTTGTGTTGTGACACTCCTTTTGCTGGCAGTGATGTGACACTTCTTTGGTACAGGTCCTGCTGAGTTGCTTGTGGTCATGGTCACAGTTTGTAAGGCACTCTCCAGGTATGGAGGGGTACCAGAGACCAAAGTGTTTCATGCTTTGGAACTAAGCCAACTGATGTTGTTCCTGTTCTACCTCTGCACCAAATTATAAAATGGGAGTATGATTCTTTATAGCAAGAATGGCCTTGATAAACAGATCCCAGTTTATCTGGAGAGCTATGTACCTGTTTGTTTGGGTTTTTTTCACTTAAGGAGGGAAAAAAAATTACCTAAATTCTATTCATAAAGATACCTTGCTGAACAGGCAGAATAAGTGCCAACTTCTATCATATTGGATAATATTTAATGCCGAAAATCCATGTAAATATACTTTAAGGATTGAAAAATGTACCAAGTCTAACAATAATGAATTGTACTAAGTTGCACTGAAGTCTTACCAGGAGCTGGGTGTTCTGTTCTAAGTAGTTTCACTAGTTGTGGCTTTTATCACAGTTTCTCTCAGTTGTAGAAGGAAAGACTTGTTCTACAATATTGAACTTCACTGTTGACTAACCCTGATAAAGCTTATGTTGTACACAAGTGTTGTTTCAAACAATTACATGTAAGTGTTCTTACACATATAAAAAGTATAAGCCGTGTTTCACATTCTTCAGACACAAATGGAAACATCTCTTCCTCTCTGGGCCCTTACATACTGCATCAGGTGACCCTGGTGCATTGTTTTCTACCAGAAGAAGAGGTAGAAATTTGTCTTCAGTTTCGTTTTTCCTTCAAATAGGATTTTTTTTTCCCATACACTGTTGTTAAATCTGAACACTCCCAATTTTCTATTTACTTTCAGTTAGTTGATTTTGATATGAAGAACAAAAACATGCCAGTCATGAGCTCATTAGTGCTGTTCTATTATTCTTCAGTATAATGAAATGCGATGGTTCAAAAAACATTCTATTGACTTTTGAAGCTTTGAAAATGTTATCAGTGTAGTTGTGAATTTTAACTTAGAATTTTTAGTAGTTTTGAATAATTAAAATCCTAGTATTCTGCCTGTCTTCTCTCGGTACCAGAGCTGATACAGTGGTGCAGGCAGCTGTACCAGGGGACCCTTTCTGTGAGCAAAAGTAGGATGTTTGGTTTTAGTCTGGCTCACTTCTGTGTTTTGGCTTGTGAGTTGGAAACACTGGGTCTGGAACCACTGAGGTGGGAAAGAGGAGGTGATGGTAAATCCCTGTCTGTGCTGTGGTGTTGACTTAGGCTGCCCTGGGTGACTGTAACTGTGCTGAGGGGCAGCCTGTGCACTTCCAAATGGATATAGCAGATAGGGATGAAAATACACCCCTCAAATTCTGATCATGTCTTTAAATACCAAGCTTTAAATCAAGGCAGTTGGTCATGAAGCTTGGAATTTTGGTAACTCTTAGTCACTCAGCTTTGACTTTACCCAAAAGTGAGTGCCCCTGAGTTGAACAGTGTGGCAGGAGGGGCATAGGCCGAAAGCAGTTTTGCCATTGGAACTATAGATTTGTTGGCACTGCTCAGTTCTGTATACTAATGTTTTATACACTTCAATAGGAGCACACAGGTACTTGAATTAATCAGTGTTTCTTGGGTTTAAAAATTTGAGGGTTCCTTTAAATCATCCCAAATCGAAAAAACATATAGAAAAGAATATGTTAATGTGTCACTTTTTAAAAGGAGGTCAGAGACTGGATGACAAGGAGTCTGTAGTATTTAATGGGTTTGGTATAGTTTTTGTGTTCTGGTGAAGCTTTGGCAGCGTGGTGATTTGTATTTTACCATGGGTATAGGAGTATTCACTGCAGACTTGAGTCTGGAGGAGCTGTGCTTTGAGCTGGATAAGTAGTGCCACAGCTCCAGCTGATGGAAGTGCTGGATTTACAGCCTGAGGGCTGTGTCGTGGTGCAGCTCTGACCTGGCCTGTGTACCTTTGCAGTCCTCTAATCTGGCATGGCAGTGCCAAGTGGTAACTTCCCCTGCTTCTGATCCTTTGGTTTTCCTCCTGTGTCAGCAAAGTCATTCCTAGAACTCCACAGTCAGTTGCCTGGGGTTTGACCAATGTTAACAAAATGAATCTCTTAACACAGAGTTGTTTCTTAGGTGTGTGTCCAGTGTGGTCACCAGATGTTCATGTTGGCTTGAAGGAGGGGTCATGTAGGACAGGAACACACAGTTTGGGTCAAGCCAGGAC